CTAAACTACAAGGACTTAAACAATAAATTTTTTTGATACAAAATTTTTTTTTTAATAAAATACAAAAATATTAAGAAAATGAATGATTTTCTTACGAATTGCCAAATATAATGGATTTTATTATTTTTTTTAATCTCAATTGTCAATTAAATAAATTAAAATAAAAAAATAAATTTTTTGACTTAAATAGTTAAGAAGTGACTTTTGCTAAAATTAAATAGAAATAATTTTTTTTTTCTATTAAAAGTGATACTTGGTGGAACTTATTTTTTTATATAACAAAAAAGTAAAATAGGAATTACATGTGATAATTTATTGTTTCAGCAATATTATAAACCCACATTTTTACCCACAATGATGTGACAAAGGAGTTGGGGCCCATGACATTAAATGTATAGCAAATCAAGAGTTGCTACATATGATACCACATCATTGTAGATACAATTGTGGGTATTGTTTTGTGGGTCTCAAAACATTTTTCTTATTGTTCATCTAAACTTTTTTAGCACTTGTGAAATATGGTGGATCTTGTTAATTTTTTTTTAAAAAAATCTCAGTTGTCAATTAAATAGACTAAAATAAAAAATGATTTTTTTTTGCTCAAATTGCTAAAAAGTGAGTTTTGCTAAAATAAATAGAAATAAATGTTATTTTTCTAATAAAAGTGATGGTTTGTGAAATATTTATTTTTATTTAAAAAAAATGAGGGTTATAGGTGATAATTTATTGGTCATCTATAATTATTTGTAGATCAAATGAGAATACCGTTCTAAATTTTCTTCTTACTTTTTTTTATATAGGCACTTTTATTTTGAAGAAATTTAATTTTATTATATTTAAATATTTAATTTTAATTTTTAAATTAAAAATAATTTTGAAAAATCATATTTAAATTATTTTGTGCCATTATAAAATATAATTTTTTAATATCATCTTATTCAATGATCCATTTCTAAAAAGGTGTATTTGCTTTTATTCATTAATATTAAAATTTTAATTAATCTTATTTATTATTAAAAAATAAATTAGAAAATAATTTTATATATTTATATATACAATTTTGTTTCGATTGCTCAGGTTATTTGGTTTCTTTGTCCAAGTCCATTCAAATTTATTCAAAATTTTGAATTTTACATAGGTTTTTACCGAATTAAAAATTATCTTGCACAATCTCTAAATATTTATAGGCTTGACTCGAGTTGCTTGTGTTTAAGTCACCCAAATTTACAACTTTAGCAAGGGAGTTGAAAGTTACATTATTGAAATTGTGACAAATTAAAAATTGATTCATAAATTTTGATAAAATTATAAAACTTAAATTGTAAGTTTCAATATTTTTTATTTTTATTTTCATAATTTACATACAAAAATCTAACTATTTATATTATTTCATATAAACATATTTTATTAATTTTTTCATCCCATGTTTTCACTTGTTTTAAACATATTACAATACGACTAAGGACAAGCATTAAACCCCCTTTGCTACGGAAATGGTGGCAATAACATCATATTGAAATGATATTTAGAGGTTACAATTAGATCCTTAAATAGCAATATGCTTGGTACTATAAAGATCACAATAAAATTTTAATATGTTTTCTCATACTAAAATTTAATAACACTTTAATGTGTCTCACGGTAAAATCTGATAATAGAAAATTCAACAAAATATGAAAATATATTGAATTTTTATTTTTATTTTTCTTATTTTTTTTTGTATTTGGTATTTTTTTTGTATAAAAAATTCACAACTATTAAGAGTATTTAGATTAAGTGTATTTTAAAAAATAAAATAAAATAATGTAAAATATTTTAAAAAATCACTAAAAATAAAAAAATATGAAAAACAAAAATACAATTCAAATTTTCAAAATGTACAATATATTTTTTAAGGTTTTTTACCCTTTAGGTATGGTATGGGAGCTTCTATTTACACACTGGTATTTATCTCAGTACACAATTTGCATTGTTTAGATATCAATTTATGAACAAAATACAAATGTTCAGATATCAACAATTGAACAAAATTTTTGTTCGAACAATTGTTTTTTTTTTTCAGAAGTTGATATTCGAAGGTAATTTTTTGATAAATCTCATTTTTAAGTGTTTTATTCTATCTAACCCATATTCTTTTTTGATATTCTATTAGGTCCTATTTAATATAATATGACCAAATCACACTTCTAATTTTTTGTGAATGTTTCCATTTTGAAATTAGTACACAATAAAAAATAACAATAGTCCCTCATTCTATAGAGAAAATCTCTTACATTCTCAAAATCTTAAATCGTCTACCTTCTAAAAATCTTTCATTAAATGTTGATGGGAGCTTTTACATTACAAATGTATGCTTGTAAATAACATCCCCTCATAGAACAACACACACACTTAATGTTACATGAGTGTGTGAACATTAATATTGGGTGCGATTACTTATTTGTACTACAAATTAATGTGAATATTCATATTTCTATGTACATAATACGTTTGTGACCAAAATAACACATTGTTGTTTATATTAGTATGACTATTTTTGAATGTGAATATTAACACATTGTTGTTTGCGCTTGTATTACTATTCCTGAATGTGAATATTAACATTGATTAATGATGTGCCGATCACAATACTAATTGCAACACATTACAATGTGAACATTCACATTGTAGTGAGAAAACATGAAACAAAATAATAAAAAAAAAGTGAAAATCGACTATTTCGATTGTTCAATGGTAACAAAAATGATTGTTCAACCAACAACTAACATTTGAAAAAATAAAACTCATATCAAAATACAATGTGAATGTTTATAGTTTTCAATTAATATACAACTAGCCTTAAAAAAAATTAAATTTATACCAATGTGAACATTCACACTGCAATATGAAAATATGAAACAAAATTGAAAGGAGTGAATTGACTATTCCGATTGCTCAATGGTAACAAAAATAATTGTTTAACCAACAAATATATTAACAAACAATATGCAACAAATCATTAGACAATATATAAAAAAAAACATTAAATAGTTCATATATATTGATGCACATTTTTAGAAAAATCTGTATATAAACAATACCGGTATAATACAGGTGAATAAACTATACAATATCGGTGACTATACAAACCAATGAAGAGACTATGGTTTATATATAACAGTGGCAAAAAAATGATTGTTCGTCGCCAGTTTACCATCATATCTGTTGTGAGTTCATCATCATTATCTCTATCATCGGTCTGTAACTAACATTCTCTTCCAAATATTCTACCATAATAGGACCTTAATGCAAAAATGGTGAAAGGAGATCCTTGATCAATTCCTCATATTGAGGCAAAGAAAATGCTAAGAATAATAATCTTCCATATTCTATATACAATGTTTTATATACTATAAACGAAATATATCTAATAATTAATATTTTCTTCCGTAAATATATAGTACAATATATATATTATAATAAAAGTCTATAGAAGTAAAATAATTCACATAATTATTCTAATATGGAAAAAATGACCTATTAGAATACAAGTCTATATGAGACTTGATGGACACTAGAAATTTTGTGGACTTATTGGGCTACAAGTTAACTAAATGAGATTTATAAATAAATCTCTCTTTCATTTTTGTTCAGAAGTTAATATTCTAACAGTATTAATAGTGTGTACTGAGATAAAGTATAATGTTTGAATATAATTATGCTAACAAAATCCTTAAAACCCTTCTCAAGTAATTTGTTCTCTCTCTCTCTCTCTCTCTCTCAACTTAGAGCATCTCTCCCTAAACCTCCCTCCTTAAGCCTTTTATTGGGTGTATTGCTGGAGGTGCAGGCCACTGGTCTCCTCTATCCTCATTTCATCCAATTTTTCTTATTTTTCTTGTCTTTTTGCTTAATAATATTGGAAGCTTATCCTTCCAACCCTTTTCAACACCACCACCACTATACTGCCACTAGATTTGCTACCTTCTTGCCTCCATGGATGCATTCTTACCAAATCTACCTCATCTTTTTCAAATCTACCTCTGACCATCGGTGCCAGTGTCGGTGTTGCCTTTCTCTCTTCTAATCTTCCAAGTTTGATGTTTGGCTTGCGCCCAAACTTTCACCCTCGCGCCTAAAACTTTAAGATCTGATTTCAAGTTTTCTCATAATCAGAATACCGGTATTGTTTAATGCGTTCGTTTCATGCTAGGTGACCACCTCAACCTCAATGTTCTATTTGACCCGCAAAGGTAAGGTCTTTAGATTTCAAGTTGAAGATTAAGGTTCAATCAAGTTTTGGATGCGTTTAGTGACTTCAATCTAGTTATTTTTGATTTGCTTTTTATTTTTTTATTATTTTCTGTATATCTTAAAAAAAAAAAAAAACTGACTTTTTAACTTGCCTCCCTGTTTACCAAACTCACCTCCATCAATCACCAACATTTACCCGCCATTTATTGGTTATAAATACGGTCAATCCTTCCTCAAACGAACATACAGAACGCTACACAGAGAGAAATGGGTTTGGAGTTGATAGCTTCGGGATTTCACATTTCCATACCCTAGAAAATGTCATCGTTCGACCCAATCGTCTCCATTAAGGTTCCTTCGTCCATGGATGGATATCCTGTAAAAATCCCCAAGGGTTATGACCCTTTTACAGGCCACAATCACCTCTATATGTGGCTCGTCGACGAGGTCTCTTTCAGGTATTCATTTATATTGTATTCACGAATCATTAACCATAATTATTTGTTTAATAATTGATCTGCATTTTTAGTATTTCTTTCAAGAGTTGGTTTTTGGGATGTGCTTGGTTGGTTTGTTGATGTTGCAGGGTAGATGTGGAAGAAGATGAAGGAGCAGTGATAATTTGTATAACACATATTTTAAAAATAGTTTCAAAATCAGAGTATTTGGCATCCCAAATTATAGGATTTTGCAGCCCCAAATTGGTTTGATCAAATATTGAGCCCAAAGAACAATCACAAGATTCACAACTCACAAGAGGTTGTGGATTTTTCACTAAAAAATCAACTTCTTTAATACATTGCCCAAAAAATATTTTCTTCTTTGTGGTTTATGACATAGTGCAAACTTCTAATATCATTCATAATAACACAATTACAAACTATTCCATGCATATCATATAAAGATACAATAGCAAAGTAAATCAATCAAGCATCAAAATTTTGAAATTCAAGACCTATCTTATTCTTCTCCAATTCTTGTTCTTTAACCCAAGAAACGAATCTCTTATCGCATGCATTATGTTCACAACATCATCCATTGTCACACGCTCTCTTGATTCTGCATTTGAACATGACAGGCCGACTCTCATCACTGCAACCAAACACTCTTCTCTTTTTCTTGCACTAGTTTGGGTATCATCCTCTTTGATTATTTCTCTTTCTCGTATTACTTCTCCATTTTCATCATCATTTTCTCCTCCTCCAATGAGCAATGACGGGTCTACTATGTCCATGATGCATTTAGGAAAAGCCATTGTGACAAACTTGTGAAGGCTGAGACCATCTTGAAATATGTCATCAGTTGGTCTTTTTCCAGTAAACATCTCCAGTATGAGTATCCCATAGCTGTACACATCTCCGAGTATAGACACTTGGCCACCCGTACCATACTCTGCATTTCAACAGTACTGTCAAGTGTCAAATATTCTTTATGTCAATGGCAAATGAAGTATTTTGTTCCTTATAATATTTCATATACATAGTATCCCATAGCTGTACACATCACGGTGTAACGGTATGAGTATCCAATTGAACTGAAAGTGAAGTCAGTTTTGATAAATAAAGATATACCTGGAGGTATGTACCCAATTGAACCTTTCAGCCCAACAGACGTACTTGAGGGGATGGCTGATGATGATGCTTCAAGGAGGAACTTTGCCAATCCAAAGTCTCCAACATGGGCTGTCATATCTTCATCAAGAAGCACATTGCTTGGCTTCAGGTCACAGTGAACAATTGGTGTTTGACAATGGTAATGGAGATAATTCAAGGAAGAAGCAACATCAATGGCTATGTTCAGCCTCTGTACAATGCTAAAACTCTTTGCTCGAGGTTGCTTGTCGTCATCCGTTGGATGCAACCATTGGTCTAGGCTTCCATTACACATGAACTCGAATACCAATGCTTTGAAATCATTACCCTCAAGATCCACACTTGAACACAAAGTTATGATCTTAAGGAGGTTTCTGTGTCGTATAGTTGTCAAGGCTTTGCATTCGTCTATGAAACTCTTTGAAGCTCCTTCTTGTTGCAGGTTTAGTACTTTCACTGCAACAACTTTTCCATCACCACTTAGACCCTTGTATACCGAACCAAAACTTCCCGAGCCTATCAGATTTTCCATGGAAAAGCCATTAGTTGATTTCATGAGCTCTGAGTAAGAAACTCTTGATCTCAAACCCTCCAAAGACGATGCAATTGAAGTACTGGTTCTTGATTTTTGCAGCATTAAATATGCAACTAAACAACAAAACATAATACATATCAATATGATTGCAGTGATTGCAGGGATTAGTACTTTGAGGGCAAGAAGATTTCCTGATGAATGAAGCTTCTTAGAGCATGTTGGTAAAAGTAATTCTGGGATACCCCCACAGAGCTTGTCATTTCCAAGAATTGAAAGTGCACTTGTATTCGTGAAGATCCCTTCTTTAGGTACTTCACCCTCGAAATCATTGAAAGAAAGGTCAAGTTTCTTGAGAGAGAATGTTCCAAGAAAACTTGGGATCTGCCCAGAGAAGTTATTATGTGAAAGATCTATCTCTAGTAAACCCCTTAAAGCTTTCAAAGGTTGAGAAATTGTTCCTTGAAACATATTATGCTCCATATGGAGGATCTCCAGGCTAGTACAACTAGCTATGGAGCTGGGTATTTCACCGGTGAAGTTGTTCATTGACACATCTAACTCCATGAGGTTTACCAAATTGCCCACTTCAGATGGTATTGGACCTGTCAAAGAATTATAAGAAATGTCTAAAGAAATTGAGAGGGAAGAGAGACCAATAACTTGTATGGGTATGGTACCACTTAGATTATTCCTGGACAGATTTAGTGTTTGCAAGTTATAGCAGTTTCCGATGCTTGAAGGTATAGTTCCATCAAAGCTATTCTCCTCCATAAGAAGCTTGGTTAAGCTGGTTAAGTTACCAAATAGGGGTGGCATTGGCCCGGATAAATCGTTACCATTCAATGACAATCCTTGTAAGTTCTGAAGCTTTCCAATAACATCAGGGACATTACCGGTGAAAAGGTTATCTTCCATTGCTAGATTGTTCAAGTTGACCAGGTTTCCAATCATCCCAAAAGGGATGTTTCCATATATTAGATTGGAACCCATTGTAAATTTTGCCATCTGTGTTGAAAGGTTGGCTATTGAACTGGGCAATTCTCCTCCAAAATGGTTTCGTGCTATGCCCAACTTAAACAGATTTGTACAGTTGACCAGGGAGTTTACAAAATTCAACTCTCCATTCTTCCCTTTCCAATAACATCAGGGACATTACCGGTGAAAAGGTTATCTTCCATTGCTAGATTGTTCAAGTTGACCAGGTTTCCAATCCCAAAAGGGATGTTTCCATATATTAGATTGGAACCCATTGTAAATTTTGCCATCTGTGTCGAAAGGTTGGCTATTGAACTGGGCAATTCTCCTCCAAAATGGTTTCGTGCTATGCCCAACTTAAACAGATTTGTACAGTTGACCAGGTAGTTTACAAAATTCAACTCTCCATTCTTCCCATATCCTAGTTCATTATCATCGAAATTTAGCCAATACAAAGCTCTTAACCTTCCTAAACTCGTGGGCAGAGTTCCTGTGAGATTGTTTTGAGCAAAGTCAAGTATCTGGAGTCCAGAGGCATTTGATATCGATACAGGAATGGTTCCTTTGAAATTGTTGACACCACCAGCAAAAATTTGGAGATTAGGAAGAGTAAGGCCAACGTCTGTTGGTATCTGCCCGTGTAAATGGTTTTGAGTAACCGAGAAGTAGTAAATGGAAGAGATGTTGTAAATGGAAGGAGGGACTATACCTGACAGTTGATTTCCATACAGTTGAAAAATCCCCAGGTGTGACAGATGGCCAAGCTCATCCGGTATGCTACCAACAAGATTGTTCTGGGTGAGTCCGAGAATCAATAGCGATGAAAAGTTACCAATCCAAGCTGGGATTTTTCCTGCGAGGCTATTAACACCTAGGCTCAGAATCAATAATTTTGAAAGTGAACTAAGCTGGTCCGGTATTGGTCCAGTGAGCTCATTATAATTCAATTTGAGGATTCTGAGCTCAGTACAATGGGTCAGATTTGTTGGAATCATTCCACCTAATGAATTTGCAGTCAAATTGAGATGTTGCAGGTGCAACAAACGGCCCAACTCTGGTGGGATTTCACCGTGGAAGCTGTTGTTTTGCAGGTTGATCCCAGTGAGCAATGAAAGGTTTCCTATAGAAGATGGTATGGAGCCAACCAGCTTCTGCGCTTCCAGGTTCAGAATCATAACTCGTCCGTTGGAAGGATTGCAAGTAACACCTGCCCAGTTGCAGAAATGGAGCGATTCATTCCATGAGCTCATGATTTGTAGTGGATCCTGAATAATATGACTCTTGAAAGCAAGCAAGGCCAAGTGATCCGACTCATTTCCGGAGGTGGCTGCTCTTGCAGGCAATTCCAGGCCTAAGCTCAATGACAGAACAAAAGTTCCATGAAGCGCACACACCAAAAACCATTTGACATGTGTAGATGAATGCTCCATTTTGTGACTACCAACTACAGTATCTTCTTGATTAGTTCTGAAAACTTAGGCCAGCAACAAGCAGGTGTTTATAGGCGTTGAATTTAATGCAGCATTAATTGAATTGAAAATATCCAGAAAGCTCAGCTGCAGTGATGTACGATTTTTGAGCGAGATTCCCACTCCACGTTTAGCATCAGGCAAAAAACAAGGTGTGAACATTGTTGTACGTACTTAATTTGTTTAGATTGTTATGATGTTTATTGAATGGGACTGAAAAGCTGAGAGTCACCCAGAGAGAGACTGCTCAACCAACACAAATTTACAATTCAAAATCGTTTTCTAGTGCATTACTTTTTTCTTCTCCTTGTCTTGGTGTGTGATAGCAAATATGCTTGCCCACGTCGTATGTTGTAATCAAGCAATTAGGTTGTGTTTAGCTGTTTCTGGCCCCTTGAGATGCCATAAACATTTATTTAAGGGTCATAAATCTAATTATAAATTTTTTGGAGCAATAATCTCAATCTCTATTCGTTTAGGGCTAAAAAGGACAAAACAATTTGAAAGATCATATTACTTTTATTTATTTGTATATTTGTTCACGTCACCTATTTGTTTAGGTGTTATCTATCTGTCCACATGTCAATTATTTATTTGTACACATGCCATTTATATGTCCTTCTAATCTACGTATCTATCTATATTACCACCACTACCACCACCACCACCACCAATCGCTGCCACTGGCTAGCTCTAGTGACTTTTCTTATCATTTTTTTTGGCACCAACAATTTTTTTGGCAATCAATCGATGACAGTTTGATGGCAGTGGGTAAAAATAAAAAAAAACTCTTTCGATACATCAATTTATTCTTCTCACTAAACAATTTTAAAATCAATTCTTGAATCTAATGCCATATCTCATATAAATGGACTCATCACTAAAAAAATAAACCCTCGTCTTGTTTGGGAGCAATGAAAGAGAATGGACCACTCTCATTACAATTTCAGTGTAAACACATATGGCCTCTTTGCAGAAATACTTGTTGGTATACTTTTCAAGAGTTCTATTCTGACATACTTTTCAAGAGAATGGACCATTTATTGTTTTTTTTTTAGTAAATTACATTGTCACTCTGTAATTTAAATGAAGTGTTACATCAATCCTCACAATTTTAATTTTAACAATTTGGTCTTGACATTTTCAATTTTGTTGTAATGATAATTTCTCCGTCACTTATCATTAAATTTGAAAAAGAAGACCATGCGTGAAATTAGAATGATCAAAATGGAATTCAAAACAAATTATAGGGATTACCAGGATAATGTCTCTATAGTTTCACGTGAATTTATTTATTTATAGTTCAAAATGTTAACAACATATGATGCAGGAACACATTGTAACAAACTTGAAAGTATAAGCATAGAGATGAAATAACTAGTCCTTAACTTCCTAATGTAATGGTCATTTTTCTAAATTACTCATATCTATTTTTCTGAAAATTGTGGTTTGGTTTGGGAACTAAAAAATTCAAAAGGTCACTAAAAAAGTTAAAAAAACAAACAATTATATAAAAAAGTTAAAGATTTTTTTTTTCTCTATATTTTTTGCATGTTTTTTTTGTAAAAAGCTAAAAAAATCATCCAAAATATACTAATTTTTTTTAGGCTCAGGCTTGTTTTCAGGTGGACCCAACTAGAGTGTGCTATTGGGCCTCTGCGGGCCCACCATGGAACCCACATTGATGATCTGAATCGTTCAATGCATAGGACTCGTTCAGTAGTTCATCTATGTAAAAAATTATGTTGATCGAATATCAATAACCACTTGATTAGATCACATTTGTATTAACAATTTATTTTAAAATCATAGTTACCGTTGACACAAATTTGATATAATCAAGTGGCTATCAATATCCGATCAACGTGATTTTTTTTAAGGATAAAATACTCGATGAGGTTTGTATATTAAACAGTTCACAGATCATCGATGTGGGCTCAATGGTGGGCCCATGGAACCCAACATGTTCTAGTTTGATAAGCTGTTCCCTTTTTTTAACTTCATATTTTAGCAAAAAAGTTACTAAAATAGTAGCAAAAGAGTTTTTTGTGTTTTTTATTTTTATTTATTTTTTATTTTTAGTGAATTTTTAAAATATTTTACGTAATTTTTTTTTAGATACACTTATCTACAAATCAAAAAAAAAAAAAGAAAAAGAAAAAAGAAAAAGAAAAGATATACTCAATCTAGATATAATATTTGTGAATTTTATACAAAAATACCAAAAATTATGAAAATTTAATACATTTTCGTATTTTGTTGTATTCAATGAATTTTTTTAAAATTTTTGTACAAATTTTACACTTTTTAAGTATATTAAGATTAAGTGGATCTAAAAAAAATAAAATAAAAAAATTGATTAAAATATTTTAAAAAATTACTAAAAATATAAAAATACGAATTGAAAACTCAGAAAATCATTTTTAATGTGAATTCTTTTCTTTTTTTTTACTGAGCGAAATGTAAGAATAAGTATTTTAACAGGGATTCGGCTCCTTTCCAATTGGGCTTTGTGGGTCCACTAGGCCATCTCGATAATCCAAATGATTCATATTGTAGGGCTTGTTGAAAAAATTATTTTCACAAAAAACCAAACTATTTAGACAACTGTAACCACATGATTATCACAAAAATAGATATACAATTGTAATTTTGAAAATAGACCATTCATTATTTTGAAGACAAATGTAATTTAATAATGCGTCTATAGTTGTTCGATCAATATGATTTTTTTGTAAAGATGATCTTTTAGTATACCCTACAATATGTACGGTTTGTATCATCGAGATGGGTATCTTGATGGACTCACATGAACGTTTCCTTTTAATAGAATGGCTATTGGCAATTCTATTTTAGTGAACTAAATATCGTCATGGTTTTTTTTTTTTTTTTTATTTGATCGGGAAGAAAATTTTTATTACAAAATCGATAAAAAATCGGATCAATTTTGTACAGCGATAGCAAAAGGTCTCATAATGAGATAACAAACTTCTATAGGAGAAAGAATCCTAACCTTCATAGAAGAGAGGAAAAATACTGTCGTGCTAAATACTACCTTTGACTCAAATTATTAGTTCGGTATGAAAAACAAGAACCTAATGTATTTTTTGTGCCGAAATTTTCCCCAAAAAAATCACAAATTAATAGCATTAAGAGATCTTTTAATTGATGAAAAGAATTCAAAATTTTCAGTATGAGAATAAATTATTTTTAGAGTAAATTACATTGACCTTTACCCAAATTTGAAGAAAATACAGTAAACTCACAGTTTTGACATAATTATATTTACTTTTATTTAAATAAGATTAAATAAACCGAAATTAATTATCAAAGATGGTGTGAAAATCCAATGATAAATAATAATTTTCATGTAAAAGAGATGACAAAATTATTTTTACATCTATATAAGTAACAAATTATTGACCAAAAGGAGGTTATGTGTTAAGTGAATTAAATTTTTTAAAAGAATTAAACATAATTATGTAAAAATTATAAAACTTAATATGTTTTTTTTTTTAATTTTAATTTCACTGTAACTTATTTTTATTTTTTAAATTCTTGTTTTCCATATAAACAAACAATTTGGACGGTGGGAGTATAATAACAATTTGGACGGTGGAAACATGATTTTCCGGCCGACTTGTAATTAATAAGACCAAAGCACCCCTTTTTGTCTTCTTTTTTTCAAAAAATTTTGTTTTGTTTTATTTTTTATGTTGGACTTGGTTGACTAATACTCAATGAAAAGAGCCAGTCTGGTGATTCACATGATTAGGCATGGTCATGACAAAAGAAAAACAAACTTGCTAAAGTTATACAAGTTTCAAATATAATATTTATGTAATTCTTATTATATAAAGTATTATGATGATAGCAATAAAATTATTCCAAAATAAAGTTATGAAATGCATGCGTAAATAAAAGCAGAAGTATAACAACTATACTTAATGATGATTATGAAAAGATTTTAAAGTTTTATGGAGAGATTCATAATCATAAATTATGAAAGTCGCAAAAAAAAAATAAAAATAAAAAAAATGGAAAAAGGAAAAAGAAAAAAAGGCACTGAGCGAAAGTTGAAGATTTAATTTTTTTTTTTCCCCTTCGCAGAATTAAAGTTTAAGATGTTCATGTGATTCCTGTGGGCAAAAAATGCAAATATTTTCAAATTAAGGAATTTGAAATTGAATTTTATAAATTATAAGAAGATTAGTTATTGAAGAATGTGGAGGATTGAATATATATTTTTAATTTATTTTGTGAAGATTTTTGTTCAAATAGAAATTCATTATGCAAGTGTGAAAAAAGTGATATAACGTTACTCGACATATGATATCACTAATCAATATAATTTTCATGTCACTATTCAAATGTAAATTCTTGTTTCAAAACAATTTTATTTCAACTTTTATTTATATATTTTATTTTTTATTGAACTGCCTTCTCATTATTCTTGGGCTCCTTGATTTACCCAAAAAGTAGTATTAACGGTGATGACTGACGATTAATGGGCAGGCTCTCCTACTCGAACCGATGTCGGTGTGTTTGCATCGAGACTCTTCATTGGAGAAACTCCACTCAATTCATTAGAGAGAAACTCTAGAGTTTACATGCATAACATTGGGAGCCAAACATACATTATTTGAAACTTATACTATTACAACAAATTAAGATTTGTAAGACAAAAATTTAGAGGCAAAATCATTTTTTAGAGACGAAACATTTGACATGGTTATATTTGAGTGACGAAATATGCTTTTAGGGCTAAATAAATTAAATTTCCCGTTCGTCCAAACAAACACACCCTTAGTTATGAATTACTATCCTTTTGAGAACAACATTTTAATCTGCAAAAGTAAATTTTTCTTGGCACGGAATTGTTTTTTTCCCCCTAAAAGCATATTTAGCCCCGGTTTGGCATTCATGTTGGGGCTAAATAATCATGAAAAGACAAAATTGACTACAAAGGTCAATAAGACAAAAAATTACTTTTTACTTATAATCATTACACTTTTTCTCTCATAAAAGTAAAAAAAGCTCCAAAACAAAAACCAATCGAGGCTAAAAAAGTTTCAACACAAAAAAGTTGACTATATTAACTAATGTTAAATGAGCTCTTACTAGCAACATTTTTAAAATTTTCACTAAAGTTTGTTTTTTAAAAAACTTTATAGCTTTTAGTGACGATTCTTGTGACGACAATAATTGTTCTAATGTTTCTTGCAACAATTTTATTTTATTTAATTTTTTTACTTTTAGAGACAAAAAATTTGATTCTTAAAATTCTTATGTGTTTAAAGTTTAATACTATAAGTGGGGAGTCCATCTTTGAAGAGGCCAATTGTGTGGAAAAAATTTGAAGAATTATTAAAAAACAGTGGGAAAACTTTGATGTTTTGTTCAAAAAAAGTGGGAGATTTTGAAGATCTATCTGGAAAAATGGGCAACACTTTAAAGATGAAGTGAGCACGACTTTTTGCTTAGATCAACAAGCTTTACAGTTCTGTTAAAGTTCCATATTTCCAAAGTGTTAGCCCTGCCCCAACGTCTACACAAAGGAATTGCCAATGAAAAATTGTTTGTTAAATATGAAAATCTTTCTTGCTATCAAACTAATGCACTTAAAACTGTGAATGCATTTTGTTATAAAAAGTCACAAAACTATTGATGTTAATATGTTAAAACCTGTTGTTTTATTGCACTCCTGCCATGAGGTTGAGCGTAGTACGGTCATTTGTCTCGATTGTTGCTATCCTTTCGTGCATGTGCATGCCTCTGTTGCACAAAGCTTCTCAAATAGTAGCCACCACCGTACTAGGTGCAAACGAGACTGATCACCTAGCCTTGCTTTCCATCAAGGCTCAAATAACTCATGATCCAATGCTAGTCACAAGCTCATGGAATGATTCTCTCCATTTCTGCCAGTGGGAAGGTGTTTTATGTGGCCATCGCCATCGGAGGGTCATTGCCTTGAGTTTAGAGTCCCGTAATTTAGTAGGTTCTATATCTCCTTCCATTGGAAACCTTAGTTTCCTTAGAACTGCTAATCTCTCAAACAACAGCTTTCAAGGTGAAATTCCTCATGAAATGGGTCGGTTATTCAGGCTGCAAGTTCTGGTATTGACCAATAACTTGTTGGAAGGACGAATTCCGGCGAACCTTTCAAACTGCAATGACTTGAGGAGTCTTCATTTAGGCAACAACAAGTTTATAGGAAACCTTCCTAAAGAGCTTGGTTCCTTATCCCAATTGGTGCTACTTTATATTGATTCCAACAATTTGACAGGGGCAATCCCAACTATTTATGCAAACCTTTCATCTCTTGAACGTTTCTTGGCTCATTTGAATATGTTAGAGGGAAGTATTCCGGAATCCCTAGGCGGCCTGAAAAGCTTAACATATCTTTCATTCTTCTCAAATAAACTATCAGGTGTGATTCCTTTATCTATCTATAATATCTCGTCATTGATTGCTTTGGAGGCACCAAGTAATTTACTTGAAGGAAGTCTTCCTCAAAATTTAGGCCTCACTTTGCCAAATGTTGAAGTGATTAATATTTGGGGAAACCAATTTGGTGGCTCGATTCCACTTTCAATATCAAATGCTTCAAACCTAAAATACCTTGACCTATCGCTTAACAAATTTTCTCCTGGAGTGGCTATTAATTTTGGAAACCTAAAGAATCTCTCTTGGTTGAGTTTAGATAAGAGTGGTTTGGGAACTGGGCATGCCAATGACCTTAATTTCTTAACTACTTTAGCCAATTGTAGCAAATTGAGAGTGTTGCAATTACAGGAAAATAATTTTGGAGGTGTTTTACCGAATTCTTTAGCTAACTTCTCGACAAAACTTGAGCATTTATCAGTGGCAGCAAACAAGATATCTGGAAACGTTCTAGCAGATATTGGAAATCTTGTGAGCCTAAATGCTCTAGCTATGGACGAGAATCAATTGATAGGAAGTATTCCGACCTCTATTGGTAAACTTGTTAAGCTTCAAGACTTGGGTTTTAGTGAAAACAAATTGTCTGGGGAAATCCCTTCCTCTATTGGAAATTTAACACTATTGAACCGGCTTTGGTTAGAAGAAAATTATTTTCAGGGAAACATACCTTCAAGTCTTGGAAATTGCCAAGGTTTGATACTGTTGCATCTTTATGGTAATGGTTTGTTTGGTAGCATACCCCGAGAAGTAATTGGTCTCTCGTCTTTGGCAATATCTCTTGACTTGTCTCGAAACTGTCTAACTGGTCCTATCCCTGTGGAAGTCGGTAACTTGAAAAATCTTGTTGAACTAAATCTTTCTCATAACAAGTTATCTGGTGGAATTCCTAGCAGCCTTGGTAGTTGCACTTCTTTGGAACGTCTTTATTTGGACAACAATTCATTTGGAGGAACCTTTCCACAATCGTTGAGTTCTCTAAAGGCCATTGAAGAATTAAGTCTCTCACACAATAACCTATCGGGTGAAATTCCCAAATTTTTAGAAAGCTTTCCCTTTTTGAGGAATTTAAACCTTTCTTTCAATAATCTTGAGGGAGAGGTACCAGTAGGGGGAGTGTTCCTGAATGCAACTGCAATTTCAGTGTCAGGAAATAACAAGCTTTGTGGGGGTATACCTGCATTACAGTTTTCGGCTTGTGCTTCTAAAAAACCAAGAAAGTTAATTATTCCCATAGTTTATGGGGTTTTGGGTATCATTTTGGCATCATCTATTCTAATCCTTTGTTGGCTTAGAAAAACGAGAAAGCAGTCTTGTGTGCCATCTTCTTTGATAGATTCTTCTTTGAAAATATCATATGGAAATCTTCTCAAAGCGACAAATGGGTTCTCTTTAACTAACTTGATTGGTACAGGAAGCTTTGGTTTAGTATACAAAGGAATTCTCCATCCAAATGAAATGGCTATCGCGGTGAAGGTACTTGACCAACAAAACAGAGAAGCTTCAAAGAGTTTTGTGGCCGAATGCAAAACTCTTAGAAACATCAGGCATCGAAACCTCGTCAAAATTATCAGTGTTTGTGCAAGTGTTGATTTCCAAGGTAATGACTTCAAAGCCCTAATATATGAGTTCATGGAAAATGGGAGTCTTGAAAGTTGGTTGCATCCAGTTCCACAAGCAGGTGGTGCTGGTGCCCATGAGCAGCCGAAAAGTTTAAGCCTTTTTCAACGATTAGGCATAGCGATTGATGTGGCTTATGCTTTGGATTATCTTCACAACCATTGTCACATCCCAGTCATACATTGTGATATAAAGCCAAGCAACATTCTTCTTAATAATGACATGACTGCCCATATCGGTGATTTTGGTTTAGCAAGGTTCCTACAACATTGCAACAATGAAATTTCTCAGAGCCAAACCAGCTCTGTTGGTATCAAAGGAACTATTGGATATATAGCACCAGGTAATCCACAATATACCTTATATTTTGAGTGATGTATTCACATATATGTCTATATATATATGTATGCATTTGTAAGTATAAATAAATAATCAGTTTGTTTAGGTGATATTTATTATTATTTATATTTTTTTTGGCATTTTCTGACCTTTGGTTCAACGGAAGATGAAAGCCTGCAAAAATTGCTTTTTGTGGTTAATGGAAAACAAAATTATTTAGAAAGAAAATGTTTTTACTTTTGAAAGGTGAAAAATATTTTTCAGATTGAAGTTTTTTCAAAGCCACCACTCGTCTACCGCCATATGACCATCACCATCACCACTACTACTGCCACCAATTACAATCATCGCCAACCCACTGCTAGTGCCACCTTTGCCCTACCCTTATCATCATCACAACGACAACCACCTCGCCACTACCCCCACACTAGTACTACCACTATTATAATCTCTAGCACATTAGTTTCATGGTCACAATCAAACATAAGAAAATATTTTTTCTATAAAAAATATTTTTTTCATGAAAACATTCCATATGCTTTTTTCCCCATAGAAATAAATGGTGTAGAAGATTGAATTTAAAATGTATTATATGTGTCATGCAGAATATGGCATGGGGAGTCAAGTGTCCATCGATGGTGATGTATATAGCTATGGGATCCTCTTGTTAGAATTGTTCACGGGAAAAAGACCAACTGATGACATGTTTAAAGATGGCTTGACCCTTCACAAATTAGCCTCGACAGCTTTGTCAGAAAGAGTAATGGAGATTGTTGATCGGAAACTTGTATCAGTTGCAGACGGGGAGGAAGCAACCAACATAAATTCCAGAAAACAAATAGGAAAAGGAAAATTCCATGAGTGCTTAATTCTGATACTCAGGATTGGAGTCACATGCTCCGAGGAATCACCAAGAGAACGAATGGCCATTGTTGAGGCGATTAAGGAACTACATTTAGTTAAGGACATGTTACTTGGGAGAAGGATTTCAAGCAATGTGCGAACTGCTCAAAATGGATAATAAAGGTCCTCTCTCAGTGTTTTCTCTCAATTTCAAAATCTAAACTTCATCCTCATATTAGGCATGGACCTTAGTTGAATGATCTGAACTGTTATTTTTTTAGAGTCTTCCTTGTATATCATTCATGAAAGAAATTTAATTTATTTGATAATCGTAATATTTTTATTTTATTGCATTTGTCATTGAAAAAATAAACGACAAGTATATTTTTGAAAATTAGTCATTGATTTTTTTGAAGACAAACGTGATAAAATAAAAATATTATAATTATCGAATCGACTTAATATTTTTTTCAAAAATGATATACAAGAAGATCCGTACAAGTTGAATGATTCGGATTATTGAAACAAAATTCATAATGGCCACACAACCCTAACATGATAGTCAAGTTAAGATTTTAAACTTGAAAGAGTCTCCGTCCTAGTTTCACAAAGATAGACATGAGGTGGGGCCCATCCCCTTGTCAATTTTTTTTTATTATATAATTTTATGTATTCTATTTCTGTGTATTTTGTTTCCCTATCTTATTTGATTAATTAATAAATTAGTAGATCTAGTGTACCTTTTGCATTTCCTTTCTTTCATTCGTTCACCATAATTAATTCCATTCTTAAACCATAATTAACTTTCTTTTGTCATTGTAATTTTAATTGTATCAATTTTATTCTTCAGTTTTGATATTGTGTTGATTTAGTATAATTGATAATGACCCTTAAAAAATTGAGATTTTTTGCCATAACTCCTTCATGGAGCCACTTTTCTTGAAAAGGACAAACTCTAATTTTTTTGCTCATAAATTCCAAAATAAAGAAATCATGTAAGAAAGACAAAAAATTTTAGATTTATATTTTGTGTGACAAATTTACCCCTTCACACACTCTCTCTATCTTTCTCTTCTTTCTCTCCCTTAATTTGTCTAAACTCTTTTTCTCTCTCTCTCTCTAAGAGTTCTCTCCACTACCACCACCACTACCACTACCACCGTCTACACCACTACCACCACCATCTCCATTACCACCACTACCATGACCACCACTGTTTCCACCCCCTCCACTGTCTTCACCACCACCGTTTCAACCACCAGTTTGGTTTAGCAAGGCTTAATTTTTTTGCTCATAAATTCTAAAATAAAGAAATCATGTAAGAAAGACAAAAAATTTTAGATTTATATTTTGTGTGACAAATTTACCTCTTCACACACTCTCTCTATCTTTCTCTTCTTTCTCTCCCTCAATTTGTCTAAACTCTTTTTCTCTCTCTCTCTCTAAGAGTTCTCTCTACTACCACCACCACTACCACTACCACCGTCTACACCACTACCACCACCATCTCCATTACCACCACTACCATGACCACCACTGTTTCCACCCCCTCCACTGTCTTCACCACCACCGTTTCAACCACCAGCGCCGTTTGTCATAGCCACCACTACTACCGTTTCTACCACCACTGTCTCAACCATCGGTGCCATTCGATGCCCACTATACCACTGGCAACCACCATTGTTAACCTTCGCCTCCATGACTTTAGATTTGAGATAGACGACCTAAAATATGAGATCCATCATCTCATATCTATATCTTTCCCTCTCTTTCTCTTTGTCTCCTCATGATGCTTTGGTTTTTAGACAGTAAGGTGCCGTTTGGTAACACTTACGTTTTCAGTTTCCTGTTTATATTTACAAAAATTTAAAAAACTCAAATAAAAACTTGTTTGGTAAATTTTTGATTTATAAATCAGTGGTCTTAGTTTATAAATTTGGCCAAAAAAATCTAAACTCAAAAAATGAGTCCCACCAATCTTGGATCTGCGATAAATTCGGGCCCACCAACCTTGGGCTATTGGGCCTAATTAATTTAGCGAACTCAAATTAGCTCCTCTTACATAGGGTTCAAAAAAGTTGTTGGAAAATTCGAAGATCTTAGAAGATCCTTGAAGAACAACTTCGAATTCTCTAGAAGATGATGAGAGGCTTAGATTCTTCAATAATCTCAACTTAGGAACACAACAACAAAGGAGATGATGGAGATAAGAGACA